GCGAATAAGCTCTCTAGCTTTAACTCCTAGCGCTTTTAGCTTAACGCAGTTAGCTAGCTTATTAAAGCTAACCTCCTACTGTCTACGTTTAAATCGCTAGCTTTTTAATAATTAATATTGTTAGCTAATGTCTAAGTAGAAGCGGTACTATAGACGTCCTATAATAGCGTCTCTTGTTACGTTATGCGCCTATATAACTACTTATAGCTATAAGTTATTATAGAACTATTGTAGGTATAAAGCAAGATACACATAAGTTTTAACAGCTAGATAATAAAGGGTAGCAAGTGTAGGTTCTTAGGTATTATTGCCTACTACGTTAATAAGCAAGGCGATATTATAGACTTACCTATTGTGCTGCTGCAGTTAACAGGCGCCTACAGTAGATATAGGATAGTAAAGGTTGTTATCTAAACGTTAAAAGAGTTTAGTATAAACGCTTAACGTATTAGCTACTTTGTACTTAACAACGTAAGTAATAACAACACTGCAATAGACGCAATTGCGCTAATAATAGGCTTTAACCTACGCTATCGCCGCCTCTATTATAGTTCTTATACAATTAACCTTGTTAGCTAGATACTCCTCTAGGGAGAAAACAGTGCCTTATATAATAATAATACTGCTAAGATTACTACTAAAAGCAAGTATATAAGCAAGTAGAGGCGCGATAGGCTCTTAGGCGTACTTCTAGGTATTATTAACTTTCTTAAACAATCCAACGGCGTTTTTGTAGCCGATTCTGGCGGTTTGGAACGTTGTTTCCGGAGGGCGATTTGCCGCAAAACCTCTCTAATCTTGCCAATAGGGGCTAGAGGCAACTTGCTCTTCGGATTTCCCGCTTCAGTTAGCATATGTATCAAGAGCCCTAATTCTGTTGCTGTCCAAGATACGGCTGCAAAGGTGCAAGCATGTTCGTGACCGACGCTTACGGCCTATGGCACTGACTCTAGCTATGGCTCCTTTGCCGGCGAAGTACTTAAGTCCCCTTTCTTAACTTCCTGGAGCGTCACAAAAACAAAACTTCTAGTTCTGTCTTCTTCTTGTACCGTCAAAGCCTCGTTTTTATGTCTCTCAAGTTCGAACTTCTCCTAGCAGGTCTTTTTTCTATCACACTTCTACCAGCCGAAAGACTGCAGCAACATGCAACGACGTTTGTTGGTCGAGCGGTCCCCTGATTCCTCCTCCAAACCCGGAACTTCACTCATGGAGCGTGATTATTCTGGTCCTACAGGCGATGATGTTGATCCAGATACTGATCTGTCATATGCTGATCCATTTGCTGATGAGGACGACGAAGATGGAGCATATCTTTCCCCCGACAACGACCATCCGCCCGAGTATTACATTCAACAACTTGAGACCTTCAACGAAGAAGAGTACGTGAAAGAAGACTACAAAAAGAGCAGTACCCGTCTGCTGAATTACATGGAAGATCAGTGGAATCAGTACGTCCCCTATTCCCATTGTAGTTTGCGCTAGATTGCATAGCCTAATTCTAGCATAGATGCTGGGGCAGTATACCAGGGAAACAACACTTTCGTGCCTACCAAACTGTATCGATCGCTACCCTATTTACATTCTTCGACTGGCTGCTCAAGCAGCGTAAGGGAAAACAAGGAAGAAGACGCCGAGGGACGAAGTCTGCCAGCTCTCTAGGGACGTATTGGAAGGTTTTCCGCTTAGTGTATGAGAGAGCAACTGGTGCAAGACTAGATGGGAAGATCAGCCGAAGCATGCACAAGGTACCAAGAGCCGGCTTTCTAGTTGCAATTCCACATCAGTATCCATGTCTGATTTGGCCAACAGGTACTGAGGAAGCTGACCAAGAAGCACGGGCTGAAGAAGATAGGTCGAGACAAGGCTTGCATGTATGTCGAGGACTTGGCCCAAGTGCTGCAAACCAACCTGGTAACCACCGAAAAGAGATATCCACACGGACGCTATAGGATACAGGCCCAGCTCTATCTGCAACTGGGTGGATTTACGGCGAATCGGCCTCAAGCTCTTCTCAGTCTCTGCTATCGGCACATAAAAGTCACGCTTTTACGGGATCCAGAAGGTGGCCCCCATCGAGTATTGCTTGAGTTCACCTTCGAGTTCACAAAGGAGTTCCTTGGTGTCAAAGACTTGTACGTCATTGTCATTCCTCTTATAGAACTTATACGATTGCTAAGTATTGCCTAAGGAATACGTTCCCTCTTCCAGAAATCATGTACGACGAGACGCTCCTCTTTAGTCCACACGTCTTTCTCCTTGGCCTGCTATTCTACGATCGGGCGTTTGCAGCCTACAATCTAACCTCTCCAGAGGAGCTCAGCAGGCTCACGATTCCGCAAGGCCGCAATGAGCTACCATTACACCTGAACCATATATTAGACGATGTTCCTGTGTTCCGGAAAGCGACGAGAACTGTGCACGGCTGGGATATCTCTCCTCACGAGCCCCTTCCCTACTCCACTCTGCTGCCATGGGTTCGAACCCTGGGCGAGGTCACAGGGTTTGCTCAAGTTACCCGTCCTTATTCTTTGAGATATGCCGGAGGGAAGGCGTTTAATGAGAACGGTAAGTCCTGCGATCTGGTCTATGCACGATCTGTGGTGCATGATGTGGTACTAACGTACTGCGTAGGCAATGTTAGTGAGGCTATGCAGAACCTGATGATGGGTCATGCTAGTATATCAACATTCTTGAAGCATTACCTCTCACGTCGTATCACAGTTGATACGCAGGCTGTCGTGCGAGGCATCCAGCCCCAGACAGCCTTCATGCGGGCAGCTTGTACTATGAGCCGTTCGATTGATCTTCGTCGGCCACGACGACTCACGCAGGAACAGTCTGCATCCGTAGATGAAGATCCATCCGTTCGCTTCCTACTTGACCGACGAGACCGACTGAAGCGTAAAGTACCCAATGCAACCAAACACCCCGAGTACAAAACGCTTGTCTTGAAGATCAGCCAAGAGAGACAGCGTCGACGGCACGCCCTTCTTAAAGCCGTCAAGGAACGCTGGGAGTTTGAACAGCCTGTGCGTGATGTCGAGCGGCAGCTTGCTGGCTTAGACGCTATCGATGATTCGGAGCCGATCCATAACATTATGCTCCCAGCTCAAGAAGAGCTAGCCAACTCAATCCTGTCGAAGCCAGGGACCACTATAGAAGAGGAGACGGACAGGCGTAATGGGGCCATTCGTGCAGTTACCTTGTACTGTGGCATCGAAGAGGGGGGGATGTACCCGGTTCAAAAAGCGGGTCGGAGCAGGAACATTGCCTTATCCACCAAGAGCCAGCTGAGGTACGGTGAAGGAGCATTAGAAGCAGCCAAGGTCTCGGTGTACAAGGAGGAAAGACCAAAGATATGTTTCCTTTGCCTTGGCAACGAAAGACTGCCGCTGGCACAGCGCATACATTCCTTCAGTACCCCAGGTGATCTCACGAAGCATTTCGGACGGAAGCACTTAAAAAACATTAAAAGTAGCGAGGGTCTTAGCTGCAATCTTTGTAAAGTGTTCCTGGCGGACAAGAAGCACTTGCAACAACATGCTGAAAAAGTTCACGGAACCGCATCTCCTAGGAGTTCCTATGATTGCTGCTAGAATCTAGGATACAATCTACTATCCCTTTATGTGTGGCGGAAAACTCTGCGTAGCGGCATACCAGTAGTGCTTCTCTCCACAACAAGGTCAACCACGACATGGGGGCGCAGAGAATCTCGGGATAGAGTCCTCAATGTCGAAGCTTTCTTTGCACTTCATTTTGCCGCCCGTAAATTCCCACTTGGCTGGCAATGCCACAATTCGCTGCCAGCACATACTGCGACCTCGGATGTGCTAAAGGTTCAACGAACGTATCTAAGAATCAGCTAGGCTACAGAAAGGTATACAAAGAGTGTGTCCTGAGCAAAGTATCACAGCACTATTAGTTATGGAAATGTTACGCAAGTCTATTGCTCTGCAGAGCAAAATCGATAATTAAGGCGCGCTGCAGTAATTCCTGTACTTTCCGCAATACAGATAAACACAGGCTATTGGTTGATCTGCGTCGGGCTGTCCTATCAAGCACTCCGGCCACGTTTGCATTGCTTAGGGACATTAGGAGAAAAAGGTCCATCAACAGCTCTTGGTACGAAGACAGATATGTTTGCCCGTGTGTCCCACACTGTGTATCGGTCATAGATATCTGTCAGGCCAGGCGTTACCTTCGGAAGTCAACAACAACAAAAGGACATATATATCTGAGAGCTCCCAACTCAGAAGATAGAGAGAATGCTGTTGCATACCAATGCCGAGCAGTGTTAGTACGATGTTTCGAGCAGGAGTTATACAGTTACAGTATGACGAGTGAGGCTAATCGTCCAGTTGCGCACGTGAGCAATAGGCATAAACAGATACCGAGCTCGCGCACAGATCACAACTGCACTGCCAGATCTTACGGCCTGTACGCTAACAACGCGTTTGCGTGGTGCGCCGCGCTGCGGCATAGGACAGAGTCTTACGTCTGCTATTTCATGATGGCAGCGCGACGGCTGCCAGACAGCTTATTTGACAACTAGAAGAAATCGAATCGGCAGAAGCTTACCACGAACGCGCTCACAGTCGGCCGAGACTAAGAAGCGCATCCTCGAAGCAGTCGATCTGCAAATCGGATCTCGCGGCGGCGTTCAAGGCGATTGTCAAGGAAGCGCAGGCGCAACTCATAAAACTCGTAGAGCTAGAGACACACGAAGTCGAGGAATACAAACTTCAAGAACGTGAAGCCCAGACGCAAGAGCAGCGGACACATGAGTGGGAGACATGTGCGCGGGACTTCTCAGCGCTATCTAGCCACGAATATATCGACCAGACTCCGATATAGCGGCGGCTACCATAGCGCAGAATAGAGCGCTCCGATCTGCTTTTTCCATGTCCGAAGCACTGCTGCCATATCAGCATTACTTAGCCGCGTCAAGAAGAAAAGGTCCATCAATGGCGTTCGATGTGAAAGTAGACTTGTTCACCAATGCTCCCTACGTAGGTTTCGATACAGTATCTGTCGCAACTGAGTTTAAATATCTCAATTGTTAAGACTAGATAATGCCCTAACAAACTAGAGATAGCAGTGGAGAGATTAGCTCGACGACCATGATGCTCAGAGCTGTAGTTCAGAGGATACTAGATTGTGGCATGAATGACATCGTCCGTAAACGTCCGTGAACTATCAAACTGGCATCACATTGTTCTAATCTATCCGATGACTGCCAGTTACATATCGTGTGCTGTACATGAAGCTTGTCGACTTGCGAACTTCCCTTCTAGCATGAACGATATTATCTTCTTTATGTGACCCAGCTAGGAACACATCCTCAACCTCACTGATTATCGTATCTTTTAGGTTTGGGCGCTCTCCTTGTATTCTTCTCTATAAATGCTTACGTTATAAGTCCGCATTGGTTCAAGGAGACGTCCCTAATTTGCCACCTGAAATACTACACAAACGACGCGCTCCGCAAGGGAGGCGCGCACAGCTTGTTCATACCGCGAGAGAGACATATCATTCTCTTCTAGATCTCTTGGGTTATCCAGCACCCTAGAGAATATGACTAGACATATCTTGGGTTAGATTTGCATTAGAACTTTTAGAGAGTATAAAGACGCACGTCGTAGGTCTATATAAGTAGGCTTATTTGGGCAGAGGGATAAGCTAAAGTTCAAGCGTGATATAGTTCTTCAGTGTCTCTTAAGACTGCACTTAATTGCTAAGCCTAAGGGTGTAAACCGTGCGGGATGAAGTCGTGTAGGGCCGATGACTCAATCAGGGATGCAGACATAAGTTATATCCACGTTATGTTACGTGAAAACCTAGAGGTCTAGAGAAGTCCAAATTAGGCACAAAGGGTTCATGTAGACTCGAACACAAGTCCCTTGTACCCGCATTCCCCGCGGCATCCAAAATCCCATGCGGGATACTTCGAAGCTGCTGAAAGTTGATAGTTCAAGGCATGCATCGAGAAACTGATTTCGGCAGGAAAGAAGTGCTTCGTATCCCTGATCCTACATTGGGTCTTACGGGACAGCGTCCCGTGCGGTCTTCACATCAGAATATGCTGGGTTATTTAGAAGGAAGACACCCTAAAGTACACGCTTTAACAAGCTGATCTCGGTGAAAAGAGAGTGCATTGCCTGCTGAACTGAATATCCAGCGTAAGTTGGATATTGTCTAGTTGGTAGACAAATTTCTAGTGAGCACTTCTAAGGTATGTCCCTGAGTGAGGAGACACACTACGTCGCGAGACGAGTTGGCCATTCGGCGCTTCGGCGCCTCCCAACTGCGGGCTTGTAAAGCTGCTATCAGTCTACTATAATTACAAGGCTGTTGCTCTTTAAGCACATTAGCGTCCGATATAGATCGCTGCTATGTTGGCTGTAATATCGATCGTTTCGTTACTGTCGTTAACTAACTCGTTAGCGATACCCCCCTGTTTATTAGTGACGTTTAGGACTACTAAAGCGCTCGGTGGGTTGCGCAGAGAGCGCGACGTAGGAAGATCGGCTTCCTAGGCTCGTTAAATTGCTCCGATGTAGAAGCGAGCATGCTGGCAGCCCTGTAGTGCGAAGCAGAAGATCTGTGAAAACGAGCCTGAGCTAGCGGGATACGCTAATATCGCTTAGCATGCATGGGCCTGCATTAGCGCGCTTGTTACCTACTGTATTCTATTGTAATAAATTCAGCGCTATGCCCACCTTGTAGCACCTTAAAATAGATGTGGCGCGCTCTGCTGCCTTTCGAGAAGCATTAACTCAACTTAAGACACACGTCTAAAGTCCTGTTCTCCTACGCGCCATGTTACTTTCTAGGTCGACTCAACACGCTCATTGCATACTGTCCCTAACTGCTACTGTTATCTTGAGACCTTTGGTAAAATACATAAACAAAGCTATTCGGCCCCTAACGCAAGATCATCCTCTAGGTGTTGATGCGCACCTGCATTGAGCAGCGTCTTGACTACCTGCTCGTGGCCTTCAAATGAAGCTGCCTGCAGTGCGTTGCCGAAGTGTCCACCCTGCGCGTTGACATCGGCGCCCGCGTCGAGCAGCGTCTTGACTACCTGCTCGTTGCCTCCAGCTGAAGCTGCCTGCAGTGCGTTGCCGTACTCTCCACCCTGGGCGTTGACCTCGGCGCCCTTGTCGAGCAGCGTCTTGACTACCTGCTCGTGGCCTCCGTATGAAGCTGCCTGCAGTGCGTTGCCGT